TACCCAGGTCCCAGCGTGGCTTCCATGCAGCCCCGGAGGGCAGCGCACCACAGATCATGTCTCTTCCTGCTGACACTCGGGTTGTAGGTTTCCCTCAAAGAGCCTCTTTCTAATCTCTTATCTCAGGCTGTGTCACATTGTGGAATCCATCCTGAGCTCAGAGACCTGACAGGTGGTGACGATGAAGGAAACTGCCTTGCACAGCACTGGTACATAATTGTTCTTAGTGCCGGTTGCAATATAAAAGTTGCAAAGATAATACAACTCCTCTATTTTGTAGTTTAAATCTCCATGTGTCATTCCTAATTATTTATTTGTGCTTCTCTCTGTGTGTCTATCTCTCTCCCTTTTTAATTGATTTTAGGGAGAGGAAGAGAGAGAGAAACATCAATGAGAGAGAAACATTGACAAGTTTCCTCCCGCATATGTCCCAACTGGGGATCAAACCCTCAACCTGAGTATGTGCCCTGACAGGGAATCGAACCCACCACCTTTCAGTGCATGGGACAATGCTCCAACCAACTGAGCCACCCGGCCAGGGCACATCTGTCTCTCTCTCTGTCAAGTGCACTAAAGATATGTTGTGGTTTTTTACTTATATTTTGGAATAATTTCAGATTTATAGCAAAGTTGCAAAGATACTACAGAGTTCCTGTATGACCTTCACCCATCTTCCCTAATGTTAGCATCTCGCGTAACCATGTACATTTGTTTAAAAATTAACAGTAGGACAAATATCTTAGTTCAAATGCTACTGCTACACTACAGATATTATTCAGGTTTTACCAGTTTTTCACTAATGTCCTTTTTTGTTCCAGGATTCAATCCAGGATACAAGACTGCATTTAATGTCATGTACTTAATTTTTAAGAGCTCAATTGTATAAGTAAAGTTTATGTACTACAAAAATTCACCCATTGAAATTGTACAATTCAGTGGTTTTTATTATATCTTCAAAATTGGGCAGTCCACACCATAATCTGATTTTAGAATATTTTTATCACCCCAAAAAGGAACCCTGTACCCATATTTTTTAAAATATATTTTTATTGATTTCAGAGAGAGGAAGGGAGAGGGAGAGAGGTAGAAACATCAATGATGAGAGAGTCACTGATCGGCTGCCTCCTGCCAGCCCACTACTGGGGATCGAGCCCACAACCCGGGCCTGTGCCCTGACTGGGAATCGAACCGCGATCTCCTGGATCCTACGTTGATGCTCAACCGCTGAGCCACACTGGCCGGGCTATACCCATACTAAGCAGTCACTGCCCTTTCTCCCTCCTCCGTCCCTGGCCCACCACTGATCTACTTCCTGTCTCTTTGCATTTTTCTATCCTGGACCTTTCATATAAATGGAATCATATGATATGTGGTCTTTTACAATCTGTCAGCAATGAATGAAGGTTCCAACTTCTTCACATTCTCTGTGTTTTGTAAATAGTATACCGGTTTTAGTGGCATCTCCTGGTTTTGAGTTGCATTTCCCTCATGACTAGTAATGTTGAGCATTTTTCATGTGCTTATTGGCCATTTGTATATCTTCACTAGAGAAATGTCTATTCAAGTCCTTTGCTCAAGTTTTAATTTAGCTATTTTCTCAATATTGAGTTGTAAGAGTTCTGTATGTATTCCGGATACAAGTCTCTTTTCACATGTATGACTTTTAAATATTTTCTCTCAGTCTATGGATTGTCTTTTCACTTTTTTGATGGTATAATTTGAAGCACAGAACTCTTTGTTTTGATGTTCACTTTATCAATTTTTTTTATTTTATTGCTTGTGTGTTTGATATCGTATCTAAAAAGTCATTGGTTAGCCCAAGATTATGAAGAGATACTTTTTAGAGTTCCATAGTTTTAGATCTAATTTTGAGTTCACTTTTATGTGATGTAAGGTGGGGTCTAATTTCATGCTTTTGCATGAGAATATCTCTTCTCCCAGCACCATTTGTAAAAAAGACTCTTCTTTTCCCCCATCTTATTTGATGAGAATTGGAAGCCTCATTCTACCCTTTTAAAAAGTATGTTGTTAATTATTTTCTCCTGGTAAGAATAATAAAATTTGGGACATGTTTAAGTGTTAGGAGGGAATGTAAACTATTCATGGTACCACTACCTTAAAGTAACCACTGTTCTGTGTTTCCTTCTTTTATTCTGTGTCTAGATATACATACATGAGTGTGTATATATACCGTGGACCTTTGAACAACACAGATTTGAACTGTGCAGATTCACTTATACATGGATTTGTTTCAATAAATACTGTAAATGTATTTTCTCTTCCATGTAATTTTCTTAATAACATTTTCCTTTCTCTAGCTTCCTTTATGATAAGAATGCAATATGTAATACATATAACATATAAAATATGTGTTAATAGGCTGTTTATGTTATAGGTAAGGCTTCCGGTCAACAATAGGCTATTAGTAGTTAAGGTTTTGAGGGGTCGAAAGTTATATGTGGATTTTCGACTGCGCGGGGGTTGATGCCCCTAATCCTTGTGTTGTTCAAGGGTCAACTGTATTTCGTAACTGGATTCATATGTGTACGTCTGTTTACTAATTTTTTCACCTGTTATATTGTGTTTTTATTTTATCATTAAAAATTATTAAATTTACTTTCCTGTATCCTGCGACCTAGACAGAAAAGGGAATACCTTGCCCGGCCGGGCGTGGCTCAGCGGTTGAGCGTCGACCTAGGATCCAGGCGATTGGGGTTCAACTCCCGGTCAGGGCACATGCCCGGGTTGTGGGCTGCAGCCGATCAATGACTCTCTCATCATTGATGTTTCTCTCTCTTTCCTTCCCCTTTCCTCTCTCTGAACTCAATAAAGATATATTTTTTTGAAAAAAAAGGGAATACCTACTCTAGGAGCACTACAATCCTAACTAACTCAGTGCCACTGATAAATGTCTTCCATTTAAAGCAAGATGATGTTGTGTTTCTCCCATGGAACTGATTTTCATCAACTATTCTGAATAACTAGTTATATTCTGAATATATTGTCTGGTCTCCACTTTGCTGCCACTGATTCTCAGATGCTCCCCCATTCTAGCTTTCTTGTTGAAATCATTTTATTAGTAAAGCTTAGAGTATCCAGTGTGGCCCCCAACACAGTTGCTATACAAGGACTGTGAAAGGACAGAATGTAATACTCTCCACGGGCTGGGACATAAAGATGATCTGAAACCCAGCTGGGGAGTGGCAAGTGTGCTTGATGGAATGCCATTCCCATTCTCTCCTTCCAAAAGCAGTTGGGCTTCAGGAAATGGGCATTGTGTTTCACTTGGCCTTGCAAATATAGGTCTCACTTTAGCACAGCCTTTCCATCTGTCCTCCAGCATCCATGTCCCAATTGACATGAAGGTGTGGAAAGCAGATTGAACATTACAGAGGAGATCATTCTGGAGATTGTAAGACTCAGGGTTGAAGGGTAGAAAGAGTTCCTGAGAGACCAGGGTTTTTTGCTCACAGTAACCAAGAAATCAATCTCAGACTCATGGAGCATTATAAAATGTGTATTTTCTATAAGTTACCCCTTAGCCCTTCCTTGGTAAGTCACCACTATGCAGTGTCTCACCCAAATGGATTTGAGTTCCAAACTAGACTCTTGAAACTCAAATTGGTTCCAACTTAGTGAAATTTATACTAGAAACAGTAGTCTTATAATCCAATACTTTTGATTTGTAACAGCTAAGATTTTTGAGAAAAAAGAATTTCAAGTTTCAAAAGATTACCCCCTAGCCCCGCTGGGTGTGGCTCAGCAGTTGGGCATCAACCTAGGATCCAGGAGATCGCAGTTCGATTCCCAGTCAGGGCACATGCCCGGGTTGTGGGCTGAGTCCCCAGTCGGGGGCGTGCAGGAGGCAGCCGATCAATGACTCTCTCATCATTGATGCTTCTATCTCTCTCCCTCTCCTTTCCTCTCTCTGAATTCAATAAAGATATATTTAAAAAACAAAAAAAGATTATCCCCTAAAAACATCAATGCACAAGGTTTATGTTGTAAACAAGGTATTAGAAAGAAATTAGAAGAATAACTGGTTGACTCTACTTCTTACAGATTTAATATTGCCCAGACTCTAATCAAAACCCTTCTTATTTAAATATATATATAGGGTCCCCAAAAATGCATACACACACTTTGAATAATTATTAAGACAGCGTTTATTAAAATACATTTCATTTCCAAACTTGAGCTATCAGCTGTTAAAGTGTGTATATATTTTTCAAGGACACCCTGTATATATATTTAGATGCTGGTGAGTTCCCAAAAGGGGCACAAAAATGTTTGACAATGGCCAAGGACCTGCAGAATTAGAAGGTGGGTGGAGAGTCGCCTTCAAGGACATGGTGACCGGGGCTCAGGTGCAATGCATCATGTCTGTTACACCTTTCTTCAGGGGATGAGCACGGACCAAATGCCTCCCCCAAAGCCAAGATGCCCAAGAATCCACAGATGACAATGTGGAGAGAAGGAAACTTGGGAGAATATCCTGAATTCAGTGAAACCTAAAATGACTGAGTTTTCCTAGCACCTACTTGATTGCTTTTCTGTCATCAGGTGGATTGATGGCTCAATTAATTATGTCACATAAAAATAAAGTTCAATAGCCTGCCCACTTGAACTTGTGGCCTGTGAGAATCTTGCCTACCAAGCTTTGAGAAGCAGCATGAGGGAATTTATAACTATATAGGTGGGGTCTCTTGGAACCCAAGGGAAAAAGTGTGAGCCGGGCTAGGAAAGGACTAGAACCAGGTACTGGAGAGCCATCGGGGTGTTTTCTCAGCTCTTATTGCTGCTTCTCTCTGTATACCTACTCCCCTCTTCTTTCTCTGAGGTCCAGCTTTCCCCACTTCCCTGGTCCCTGTGTCAGAATGTAGTGGCCTCTAGATTCTAAATTCTGTGGCACAGCTCTGGTCACAAAAGATTCTAACTTCTGTCCCTTGGTCTCAATTCCAAATTCTTGTGTAGTAATCTGATTGGCACACTTTAGTGCCATGTCTGTCTCCCTCAGTGCAGTGGATGAAAAAGCTTCTAACGTGTCCACTGTTGCTTCATGTGAGGTGTGAATTTGCCGTCTTAGGGGCCTGTTGTCACAGAGTCCTTAGAATGTGTCCAGGTGGTCTGAGCTCCTGCCCTCCTGAAGCTAAATATAACTCTTTTGATTGGTACTGAGCTGGTATACACTCTTTGTAAATGCTCACCGAGTAAATGATTTGTCAACAGGCAATGATTCATCACCTACTGTATTCTTGGCCCTGAGAATATTAGACATATATGATACAGTCCATGTCTCTGAGAGCAAACAGTCTTTTCTGTGTAACAGAAACCTAAGGCCTAATCATTTCATTAGGGAAATGCACATCAAAGCCACAATGAGATTCCTCTTCATACTCATGAGAATGGCTATCGTAAAAAAAAAGAAAAGAGAAAAGAAAGAAGTGTCGGCAGGGATGTGGAGAAACTGGACCCTCGTACAGTGCTGGTGAGAATGTGAAATGGTGCAGCCACTATGGAAACAGTTTGTCAGTCCCTCAAAAAGTTAAACATAGAATTATCATGTGACCCAGCAATTCCGCTCCTGGGTGCCTACCCAAAAGGACTGAAAACAGGTATTTTATTATGATAAAATATAGATAACATAAAATTTACCATCTTAACCATTTTTAAGTGTACAGAAAATCAAGGTATTTTTTACACCTAAAACAATCTTGAGATTTCCTAGACGGCCCTGGAAATCACAAAAACTGTTCTTCTACCTTGTAAAATGAGAGGTATAGATTTGTTTAATGCATTACTATTTTACGAGTTGCATGAGAACCAGTGTTAAATCAGAAGACAAACAGCTTCCCCTAGTTAAATTTGTATAGATAAAGTATTGTTGTAGTAAGAAAGACTAAGGAGTGAGTGGCCAAACCTGCCCTGAACTTCCTGCCTCCCGATTTCATTCATGTGAAACAAAGGTAAACTTCTATCTTGATCAAATCACTTTATTCAAGATATTTTATTATTAGCTGAATGTAATTTCTAGTTGATACACCTTAAATCTTTTAACATGCATCTTTGATTTAATATCTAAAATTAATCAGTATCTCTACCCACATTATAGACCAAAGACCACTATTATAAGAACCTTGCATATATACTAAAATTTCTCACATTGTTTAAACTCCCTGTTGATTCTCTGCACCATCTTCCCCTACTACACACTCACACCTTTATTTTCTCTGAGTCTTACAACAAATTCACAACATATACACCTTCACTCTGTTTCTACAGATGAGGAAATTAAAGTTCACAGGGGCTAGGTAACCTTTCCAAGATCATGTGATTGATAAGTATCAAAGTCCTGATTTGAAGTCTTTCTAACACTGAGTCCATTGTCTCACGAATCTTTGCGCTTTTTTGATCAACTGCTTTCCCATTATATGGCTGAGGCGTGCACGGCCGGAGCAGGCAGTCATCCAGATCACGGATCTTATGGAATGGACCAAACATAAGCGATCAGCGCGGTCATGTAGCCACAGCAGCTTCTGGCTTAGCAAATTACCTGGATACACGCCTGTTCCCAGAGGGAACACACATCCTCGTTCGAATTCTGTGGCAGTGCTCTTGGGACACCTCTCCAGAGGATGAGCTAATCTAGCTGGGTCCTAATGAGCCTCAGCAGACAAATAACAGGGAGGCAGAGCTATAATCATTATTGCAAGGGGAAAAGAGAAAGGTGCTCAGACAACTGTTTTGCCGCCTTAAAGTCTGCATTTCTCTCTCAGCACCGATGAGATATTGCTGAAAAGGAAGTTTTGTGTGTTGTACTGAAGGGAGGCCATGAAGATGTTAGAAATAGGGAGCATACTCAGCTGAAAGTAAGGGCAAGGAGGGAAATGACATCAACGTGTTTACATGAATTAAAAAGATATTAAACAAACCCAATCAAATTGTTTCTCTGACATATATAAAAGAAAATATTTACCAGATGGATGTGTATTGAAGGCAAATGTAGCCAAATTGTGTAACTCAGAACTTCCTCAAATTCTAGATTCAAACCTTTGAGAGAGAGAACAAAGAAGAAATACTTCTGTAACACTAAGATTGACAGATGCAGAAACAACATGCAGAATGAATTTTTCTGGCCAGAGGACAGGGGTGCTGAAGTATTCCTCCTCCTGAGCTTTATGGGGTATTTGGGTCACAGCGACTTATGTATGTAGATTTTTAATTTTTGCTGATCTTTCAATTAATTTCTGTGTGTTTTTTTCAAACTTGAGTTGCAGTGAAACAAGCTTTGGCATAAACTTAATTCAGGCAGGTACCTGCTATTTATCTTCCCTGCCTCCAGGTGTCACCGGTCTTGAGTGAGTTGGGAAGGGGAGAGGGAGGGGCACAGCGCTCACCCCTCCTGTGTTGCCTCTTGGGTGCTGCTTCTCCAGATCCTGGGGTCCTTTCACCTCTTCTGCCCACCACCTCCTGGCACTTGGGGTCTGCAGTGCCTCTTAATACGATACTACAATGCGACCACCTTGGGCTCAGAGGGTAAATGTGGGCCGGCCGCCACGCTTCCCTGTCTGCCTGAGTCCTACACGGCACAACCACGAGGCTGCGTGGAGGAAGCAGATGAACCGGAGGGCAGGGCTGATTAAAAGGCCTTACAGTGTGGAACGAAATCAAAGGTGCAATCACTTGTTGAAGTCACACTAGAATAAAAGCCAGAGGACTTGGGACCGGGGGGCGGCGGAAGAGTGGACTCAGCAGGAGGGGCTGGGGACGGCAGCGGTTCAGAGAGAGCCAAGCCTAGGTTCATAGGAAGGAAGAGAAACGCTTCCCTGGGTGCAGCGAAGACGGCCCAACTCTCCGGCCACCAGCGGGGATGCGTTTGCATTTTCTTTCTACTTCCAAACAATGGCCAAAGGCAAACCCCCCGAAGAAGGGGTTCAGGAGGCCCTGATGTTTCTTCACTGTCAAGCTACACAAAGACCTGGCTGAACTTGTGGAACGAACTGTACCTGGAGCCCAAATACATCCTACATGAGGTGCCTTACCGTCTGTAAATTCTTTGATGGCAAAAACAAAACAAAACAAACACAAAACAGGCCTTGTGTGCATCTTTGTCTGGTACCCAGTAGATATTCCATAAATGTTCCCTGAACTGAATTCTTTTAAAGGAATTGGGGGATTATGAAGTCAGGAAATTGTTCCATGGGAGCATTAGCTTCCCGGTAAGGACGGCGCCCTCAAGAGAAAGCACATGAAATGCAGTGCGATGCCCAGGATGCCTTTGGGCTGATCACCAGCCTGACCTCTGACTCTGCCAACAGATTAAGTGCCGTTTCTACTTTCACTGTAGGAAGGCCGCTTTATTAAAGTGAGTCCAGGAGAAAAGAATTCCTCTTCCCGAAATGTGCAAGAGGAAACTTTGCAGAATCACATCTCTACTATTGAGTAAAGGGTGTGTTCAGATGGGCTCATGGTGACCTGAGCTTCCCTTGGCTAATCTGGCAGCTTTTTGAGGGTGGAACCACATATTATTCGTGTTTATATTACTAGGGCTAGCTCGGTGCCTGGTTCAGAAGACAAACTTTAAAGATAAAAGCTGATTGATTGATTGATTGTGAAATGAATGCTGTTTAACGTGTCACTGCTGGAGGTCATTCGGTTCCTGAGGGCCAGGGCTCTGTCCAGTGCATTCTCTGCAATCCAGCAAGGGCTGGGGAGCCCCCGCAACCAGTGAGCGTTCAACAGGTGCAGTTGTTGGGCCATGTGCTCTTGTTTTAAATTTTACTTTCTTGTCTCCAAACCAGCAGCTGATCATTTTAGGTTACAAAACATGAGGTGAAGCTGAATAATAGTCACGACAGTCTTATCGAGCTTATTTCTAATGAATCCTCAGCTTTGTGTGAATGGAAAAAAAAGTTCCATCTTCCATTTCAAATGGACATTCATATCAGTGTCTAATCAGTGTATTTATGGGGAACATTTCTTCACATCCATCAGAGGGCAGAGCTTAGATTCTGAAAATCCAAAGCTCCGTTTCCCCTCAGATTTTCTCAGCTCCTCCACTGCTAGCCTCAGACGGGGGACAGGTTATCAGCAATTCTGTGAGTGTCCCCTGCATTTAGGTCGCATTCGGGAAAACGCGTCCCTGGCCGCCTACTTCCAGACCGTCGCCAACGGGGACCAGCAGCTCGCCCCGCTGCTCGGTGCCCGGGACGCGCGCGGAAGGTGGGCCGGCGCCGTGACGTCACCCGGCTCGCCAGCCAGCGCGCAGGTCTCCGACTCGGGGGATTGGCTGGGGCCTATGACGTCACGGCCGAGGGTGGCCCGGGCCTCGCGAGGGCCCCGGGATGCTCCGGGTTCCTTTATTTTAAAGCGGGGTTATTGGGGAGCCC